CGGACAAGGATCTGGAGTGACACTGGGATTAGGGCGAGTGAGGCGAGCAGGACAGAGCACAGGCCGTGTCAAGGTCCTGGGGCCATCACAATCAGTGCACAAGCTCCTCCCAGTCCTCTCCTAACATGCGGTCAAGGGCAAATTCCTAAACCTCCTTGTTTCAGTCTCTCTCACAGTGGGCGATATGACACATGCAGCTTCCTCAAACAGCTGATTCGTGGAACACTTAAGATGTTATAGTCCTGAGCACAGGACTTAAGACACTCAGGATTCAATAAAAATGCTTTTGTCCTGATGATTCACTGTCCAACCATCTTGGTCCATTTTTGACCATCTAACAAGGACCTCGGATTAGGTAAGTTAGAAACAACTCGACTCTACTACTTCCAGAGCTCTGGAAGCTGGGAAGTGCAAGTTGGAGGAACCGGCATACGATGTCTTTTGAGGGCCTGTTCTTCACCAACTGGGCACGTCTTCATATGGCAGAAATTTGGAGAAAAGCTCCCTTTAATATCTCTTATGAAGGCAATAATTTGGGGCCTGAGCAGTGGCATATCACACTAGCCTTCCTGCAGCAACATAGCCAGCTAATCGTCCACCTGGAGTGCTAACATCCCACATGGGACCCGACTCATGTCCTGGCTGCTCCATATCTGATCAGGCTCCCTGCTGACAGCCTGGGAAAACATCAGAGGATGGCTTCAATGCTTGGGCCCTGGCCCCCATGTGGGAGGCCTAGAAGAAGCTCCTGGCTTCCGAACAGCTCAGCTGCAGCTGTTAAAACCATCTGGGGAGTGAACCAGCACATGGTTCCTTTTCTTTCTTTCCTTCTCTCTGTTAACCTTCCTCTCAAATAAGAAGAAAAAAATCTAAAAAAAAAAAAAAACCTTTATTTTTTGTCTTCCATTACTCAGCTTTGCAGGTTTGGGGTTTCCCCACCACCCCTCTCTTTCTTCTCCTCCTCTTTCTGTCATTTCCCCTACCTTTTATAACAGCCCAAGCCTTCAGCTGCAGCCACAGTCCCAACATTCCAGTATTTACATGTGTTGTGACATTACAGGTACAGGCAATGGTGAAGATTCCAGTCCCTTTTGTCAAGGTACATTTGCCAGTTTCACTGGGTGTCCTCTCATTAACAACAGAGAAGTCCACCGCAGTGCCTCCTGTTTTCCAGCACTCTGGTCTCCATTACATCATTCACTTATGAGAGCAGATGTGTATAGTTCTTTAATGTGTTATCTTACTGTGTTTTGTGTGAAGATCGCCTTATATCAGAGAGAAATGAGCATAATGATCTACAGTTGGGATCCGTTTGTGGCAAATGGTAGAATTTCATTCTTTTTAATGGCTGAGTAATATTCCATAGAGTTGATGTGCCACAGTTTCTTTATTCATTCCCTCTTTCAATGGGCATCTAGGCTGTTTCCGTGTCTGCTATTGTGGGCTGCACTGCTACAAATATAAGGATGCAGGTTGCTTTCTCATAAATAGGCTTCCCTTCTTTGGGGTATATTCCCAGAGTGGGAGTCCTGGGTCATATGTTTGGTCAATATTCAGTTGTCTGAACACTCTCCACACTGATATCCATAGTGGCTACACTAGTCGACAATCCAAACTGTAGGGAAGTAGGGTACACTTTCCCTCCATACTCTTGCCAATAGGTGCTCTTAGAAGATATCTGTATGTAGGCCGTTCTCACTGGAGTTAAGTGCAATGTCTGTATTTCTAGGTAGCCAATCAAAAAATCCTAAATGAAGAAGTTCTGGTACAGGGAGAAACAGAAATATCTAGGATTGGTGTTGCTGTGCTTCTGAAGCTCTTTGTAAATCCTGGATATTAGTCCCCTATCTGTTGTGTAGCATGAACACATTTTTTCCCCATTCTGTTGGTTGCCCCTTGGCTTTGCTGATAGATTCCTTTGTTGTACAAAGTTTTTAAATTTGATGTATTCCCATTTGTTTGCTTTAGCTTTGACTGCCTGTGCCTCTGATGACTTTCCTGGCAAGTCTTTACCAAGGCCTATACCTTGCAAAGTGCTTCCTCTGTGTTCTAATAATTTGATGGTTTCTGGGTGTAGATTTAGGCCCTTCATTCATTTTGACTTTTGTATACGGTGAAACTGCAGGGGACTTGTTTCTTCCACATGCAGTTATCCACTTATCCTAACAGCATTTGTTGAAGAGAACAATGTTTTTCCTTGGGTTATTTTCGGTTCTCTTGTTGAATATTAGTTGGTTGTACATAAGTGGGTTTGCTTCTGGGGTTTCTATTGTGTTCCATTGATCTCTATTTCTGGTACTAGTACCAGACTGTTTTGATGACCACTGCCCTGTAATATGTTCACTTAAGGTCTGAAATTGTAATTCCTCCAGCTTGATTTTTATTCCTCAAGACAGTTTTGGATAGTTGTGGTCTCTTGGATTTCCATATGAATTTTTGTATCATTTGGTCCAGCTCTGAGAAGAAAATCATTGGGATTTTTATTGGAATCTCAATGACTCTGTATATTACTTTCAATAATATGGACATTTTGATGGTGTTGATTCTACAGTCCAGTAAATTTCCTCATCTTTAATGTTTTCTTACATTTCATTTTTTAATCTTTTTTTGTAGTTTTCCTCACAGATGTGTTCTACATCTTTGGTTAGGCTTATTAAACCATATTTAAAGTTTTTCTCTGCTACTTTAACAGAGACTGTTCTTACAAAGTTCTTTCTCAGCCATCGAGTTGTTTGTGTATACAAGGTCCATCGATTTATGTTAACTAATTTTGTCCCCTTCCACCTTGCCAAATTCTCTTATAAATTCCAAAGTCTCTTTATTGAGCTTTTTTGTTTTTCCTTATGTATAGAATCATGTCATCTGCAAACAGGGATAATTTGACTTCCTCTTTTCCAACTTGAATATTTTTTAATTCTTTTTCTTGCCTAATAGCTCTAGCAAGGACTTCCGATGTTATGTTGAATAGGAGTGGAGAGAGTGGACATCCTTGTCCAGTTCCACACCTTCATGGCAAAGCTTCTAACCATTCCTTGCTCAGTATGACACTGGCACTGGGTTTTTTATACACTCCGATCGTGCCATGACAGGTTCCTTCTGTGTCTCTCTCACAATTTTTGGCATGAAGTGGTACTGTATTTAACAAATGCTTTCCATGCCATCTATTGTGATGATCTTTGGGTTTTATTATTCATTTTATTGATATGGTATAATGCGTTTAAAATAAACAAGTCTTTGAAGGTACTAATTCCAATCACCAGGGCTCTATCCTCATCTTCTAGTCATCTCCTCAAAGCCTCATCTCTTAATATCAACACATTGAGGGCTCAATTTGAACACAGAGTTTGGAGCAGCACAAACATTCTCACCACAGCACCAGTGTTTTGCAGCTTTTTCCTTGTATAAGGCTTCTCATGTATAAATGGCTAGCCTAGTGCCCTGTCAGCATTAAGTATTAAGAGTTACTATCCCCCTTTTCCAGGTTAGAATCCTGTCTGCCCCGATGCTTTGAGTGTGACGGCTCTCTTACCAACAGTTCACAGAGAGGGGGCCAGTGTTGTGGCACAGCCAGGAAAGCCTCCACCTGCAACCCTTGCATCCCACATTCACAGCTGATTCTAGTCCTGGCTTTTCCACCTCACATGCAGCTGCCTGCTAACAACCTGGGAAAAGCAGTAGCAATGGCCCAAGAGCCTGGGCTCCTGCCACTGACATAGGAGACCCGAAAGAATCCCTGGCTCCTGGATTCCACCTGGTCCAGCCCCGGTCAATGGATTTGGGAGAGTAAAGCAGTAGAAGCAAAGTCTGTCTCTAAAGAATCACGTTTTATACCATCTAAGAATAGGTTCTCTGTTTCTGTCACCAAAATCATGCTTGAAAAAAAGGTTTGTTTTTAAAAAGTAAAACTTGCCACATTTAACCCATCAACAGAAAACTAGTCTTGCTTTCTATGGCAGATAGAATAATATCACCCTGCCTTCAGATGACACACTCTAATCCACAAAATCCATGAATATGACCGTTTCCACAGCAAAGGGGACTCTGTCTTTGCAATGCTATTACAGCTCTTACAATGGAGAAATTATTACCCAGGTGGACCTAATGTAATGCAAAGGTCCTTGAAAATAAGATTAGAGTACAAATCATTGAAGAAGCCACTTCAAACAAAAGGCATAGATGCTGCATTCCTGACTGGAGACAGAGGAAGGAGGCATGTGCTAAGGAATGAGACAGGCCTAGAAGCTGGAAAGGGCCATGGAACACGCTTTCCCTGAGAGCCTCCAGAAAGGAATATTGTCCTGTCGGCATTTTCATTTTAATGGAATGACATCCAGGTGTGCAGAATACAGAACTGAAAGATGACAAAATCATGTCATTTAAGCCACTAAGCTTGTGCTGACCAGTTACTGCAGCAGGCAGAAAGTGAACAGATACACGGTCTCAAAGGTTACTACCCACTAGAACGCACAACAAAACAAGTCTTCAGGTCACCAATGCAGAGAATAACAATTTCTATGTTTCCCTAAACTCCCCAGTGTTGCTTCTGGTTATCAAAATGGCCACGAACTAAGAGGTTTTCCATTAGTGGCCACTTCTAGTCCTGATTTGGACCCATGGGGTTAGCAGCAGGATAGCACTAGCTGTTTAAAAAGTCCCTCTTGGTGATTTTATTGGAGATGATCAGTGGCCTACATTTTGAAACTCATTTCTACATATACAGAACTTATAGTTTAGTTCCCAGGTAAGAAAAATTTCAACCTCTGCTAGATAAATGTTTATGCATCCTTCCAAAATCAAGCTAATGACTAGGGACTACAGTAACAGTCTAGAGATGGCCCCAGACATATGAATGCATTATATATACACAAAAATTAGTTATAACATTAAATTGGGAAGACCTCTGCCTGCTCTGTCCTAAAAAAAAATCTGGATAGAACCATGTACACTCCTTATGGAAAAGCCTGTTCCCACATTGAATCTTTAACCTCCTACTACCCCACCTGTTTCTCTATGAAGCGGTGATGTGTTAGCCCAGGATGTGTCATCTTCAAACTGAACCCAGCTGCTGATGGCTGAAGCCAGGTCAGGTGCAGGCTGCTCCGGGCTCCCAGGGCAGGAGGCCACTTCGGAGATGAGGCCCATCTTGTCCGAGGAGTCATCTTGCTCAGAGTGGGAAAGGTCCTGGGAGCCAGCATCCACTGCGTGGTTCTCCCCAGAGGAGCTCTCGGACCGGTCTGAGGGTGATGACAGTCTCGGGGGGTGCTCATCTGTGCCTCCTGAAACAGACATGAGATACCACCATGAAGTGAAGGGAGCTTTTCTGAGGCAAAAAAACAAAGGATGGGTTAGAATGACTTCAGGACCCACCACTGCAGTGGGCATGAGAAAGGAGAAAAAAACAGCCATGTCCATCTGCCACTGCAAGAAAGGAGTGTTTCTCAATGCTTGAAAAGTAGGACCTCAGGACAACATTGTGTTGTGGCAAGGTAAGCTGCTGCTTGAGATGTTGCATCCCATACTGCACCTGCTCGTGGCCGTGTAGTCTCATGCTTTCCAGGTACAGTAAATGAAAGCAGGATGAGTTTAACTGGCACTGCCAAATAGTGGACAAAATCAACTGCAAATAGCTCCTGGACACCACCTTGATCTTCACCATCTTGTTTGTGACTGGGGAAGATTCTTAAACTTCCCCAGTCCAAGGACTGCTGAGATTCTTGCCATGTGTTAGGCACCGCTAGAAACACATTACATGGATTAATTCATTTAAGGGTCACAACAAACTATGTAGGACTGTGGTTAACCCTATGGTACAAGTAACAAAAACAAATGCACAGAGATGCTAAATAAATTACATCTTAGGATACACCACACTATACATCTGTGATGAGGGCAGGAATTGCATCTGAGTGACTGAGCTTTAGCGTCTGTCAAACTAAAAACTGAGAACATCTAAACAGTTGGCAGGAGTACCAACCAAAAGGGTCGAGAGTGAGGTACTTCCTATAAATAGGAAGATGATGTTCCTTGGAAGAGCCAACACAGTGTTCACAAATCCTTTTTTAGATCTCCAAGTTTCCCAAGATGTTTTGTCCAAGCTTCTAAATGGAAGGACTCAGGCACCTCAAGGAAGTCATGAACTGGCTCACTGTTGATATTAAGATCCCACTGAAGAATAATCAGATACAAATCATAACAAATAGACATGGTTCTGCGTCAATCTTTTCTCTCTAGGAAATGAAAACACTGCTTACCCTTGGAAGCGACAGGGAAGATCAGTTCTTCATTAAAGGAGACCCACTCGGACTGGTGGGTGGCTATCACATGGTCCAGGGTCGTCATGCTAAGACGCTGGTCATCTTCACACTGCAGTCCTCAGGTACACCCCAGAGTGATGGCTGGGGCGGAGGAGAGACAGAGCAGAACGATGAACTTGGGCTGGAGGCTGTGACAGGGTCTTGCCAGGAACAGTACTTAGAATGGAGACAAATCAGTCGTCTTGCCTTTAGTTAACCTGCCATGCAGAAATCTACTGAAAAAGAAACAGGAAATTTAGAAGAGTAGTCATCACATTATACGTAATCTACAGATTCAGGGCTTTTATCACTGCCCACAAAACACCTGAGGTGCTTTCCAACTTACTGCACTTCTCTTGGTTTCTATCACGCCCTCACTTTGTATCTTCCTTTGGCATAAAATATCTATCTCAGCATCAAGATCTCTGAAAAAGTCCTCGCGTCAGACTTGTAAACATCATGCAAATGTTACCAGTTAGATTGCTTAATTTCCCCAATTAGCATAATTTAGAAATGATGTTATCAATCATACAGGGCTATCACTGTGAAACAAATATTAAACCTTTTCAAAGTACTTTTACTTTCTTTTCCCAGACGGTGAAATAAAAGCTTGTTCTGTCCTATTAACTCAGTCTCTTGCCTTAGGCAGGTAACTCTGCAAGCTTGATTTGAATCTTTGGCAGAAATCCAATTATCTCCAGATGGTACCTCCACGACTGGTATACAAATTAAGAAACATAGAAGGGGAGTGATCTCTCTCACTTTGGAGGAAGTGGATAGGGAAGAATTTGCTTTAGTGAAAAATCTAAGTGAAAGAAAACACACTTGCCACCTAAGCCGATCTAAGCACATACAGGGCTCGCCTTTGCCCACATACCAAAAGAGAAGTATTTACTTAATGATCTTGTTTCTGCTCTTGATGCATTTCTACAACTTGAACATAGCTCTTGATCTTATAATGAATTAGCAAAATTGGAATTAATGAAAAATTAATGTGTTTCTACAAAAGAGCTACTCTCTACTTTGAATACTATCAGTTCCTATTTATTGAGGATCTACAATGTTTGGATAATTTCTAGGACAACTTTAAGTCCTCCAAATGGTACACAATTAAGTCAAAATATTGAAGAAATTTCCTATAGGTTATTATCTGCAATAAATTAGCTATTTTCAGGAAAACTAGCCTTAGGGGCTTATTTTCCCTGCATGATACTTAAAAAAAAAAACCTAGTATTTGTATAGACTCTTTAATTTTTAGAAACACATTTTGATATAATCCTGCATTTGATTCAATAGTCATTTTAGTTATGCAGTGTCACAACCCAAAAGCAGAAAACATCCTGCAGATCTCATGATGATGAACCCAGTAAAACTGAGAGATAAACAGGCAGGAGAGTGAACAGGGTAGGACAGAAGGAAAAGGTAAAGGTGATGGGGGAGATATCTATAAATATTAGAACATGAGGCCTTTATTTTCTATTTTGTTGCTATTATTTTCCATGATACAGTTTGGCAGGTATAGGGACTACCTCCTTCCCTTCTCTCTTCCCCCACTTTCCCCTCCTCCCATTTAGAACATGAGGGTTTTAAAGATTAATAATCCAACTCCCAATTGTCACAGATGAGAAAACTGAAACCCAGGAAGTTGAGTGTTAAAGACTGTTTGATTTTGAGTCCTGTACAGTCTTGGCATGTATAATTTATCCTCTTTAAGCTTCAGTTCACAAAAGTACAGCAAGAACAACAACAACAACAAAAAAAACGCTATAACCCTAAGGATTAGATAACATATACCAAGTGCTTAGTATTGGGTATAATAAAATTTTTGTAATACTGACAATGATAAGAACACCAAATGACCTCACAGGGGGCTTCCGTGGTGCCGACCCATTCTAAATGGCCACCGCTATCACAGCTTCTGTGCCCAGTGTTGCACAGCTTGTCAACAGAAGTCCTGTGACTGGAGTGTAAATTTCATAAAGTCACCTCTTTGCTATTTACACATTCTGGAGTTCAGGATTTCCCGTTTCAGTCATTATCACAGCAATTCAGATGCTAGGTGGAGTCAGTAGCACAGAAGACTCATTCTGAAACTTTGTTCTTACAAGAAAGGTGAGGACTTTAGCTGCTAGGCCATGGTGCCGGGCGGGCCTGTTCTTACAAGAAAGAAGCATTCCAGCTGAGGAATCAATATCACTACCAAGAAACTGGGAGAGAAGGCCCCCAGAGATTTCTCTCTCTTCCTCAGCTTGCTCATCTGTGATCACACACAGGGTGGTTAAAGATAACGAGTAGCCCCGAGAAAGGCTGGCAGAACAAACTTGGCACGAGGAACTCCCTATCATAACTCCACGGGATGGATTTAGCTGTGTGCCACAGAACAGCCACATCTGAGAAGCCACAAGTCACCAGACTTCAGAAGTGCTGTACCAGCAGCTGGAAACACTGGAATGAGTTGCTTGGTTTAAAAAAAAAAAAAAAACACACACACACACAAAAAAAAAAACCACCCCATTTTTAGAATATGAATCACAAAGCAAGGTTTAGAATCACCACAAATGAGTAGTGACTCAGAATCAGCAGCAGGACTGACCAAGAGACACTGAACATCTCACTGGAGTCTTCAGATTGCCATTTCAGAGGTATTTCTCAACATCATTCATGCATTAAAACTCAATGAAGAAAGGAACTGGCTGAGACGATGCAGTCCTAAAACTCTAGTTATCATGTCGCTTCTTTGACACATACGCATGAGCCCTGTGTCTGAAAATGCATCTAGCACTCCGTGAGGTAAGAAACTTCAAGCACATGACTCTCCGGTTAGAAAGATGAGGATATGCAGAATAGCAAACACAAGCCCGGGGAATGCCTGTCTTCTGCAGGGCATCCTGGAAGGGCTGTGACAGTTGAGCCAAAGGGAGATCTTCAAGGGCTGGAACCATCAGGAACCGGGTAGATTTCTTGGATTTGAAGAGTTTTCTCAATTCTGGACCCCCAAAGGGGAAGAGTGGGCATATCCCCAGACAGAAACATTCAGCAGGGGTAAGAGGTTCAAGACCTCAGACAGATTTCCTTCTGGGCCAGTCTTATGACTGAGGAACTATGTGGGCAAAAGACTGATGAACCTTGAAAGCTAAGGAGAAAGGATCGATGGGAAGTAAGAAGTGCTGAAGGTTTAAGAGTAGAGATTGACTCAAGAAATGCACTTCAGAAAGATGAATGCTCCTTGCTTTGTACTAAGCAGCTGCTTGGTAAGGGAAGATGTCAGGCACAGCAGTACTGCTGTAAACCAAGCATAGCACCGCCAGGGGCATGCACTGAGGCCACTCTAGCAGACCCATTCCAGGACCTGTGAGTTCAAGGCCACACCCTCAAGCAGCTTAGGTTTGCTTGTACAGAGGCGCAGCAGCAGTATGAAAACAGCTGCTCTCTAGCCGTTCGACAGGTCATCAAGACGGTGACAGCAGACAGAAAGTACTTTAACAGATGACTTGGGCTTTAACAGCACGTGGTCTCGAGCGTACCTTAAACTGGAAAGGATGACTCTCGGCAAAAAGGCAGAGAAGCAAAGGTCTCCAGGAATGGGGAGCAGGAGCAGCAGTCTTGTAGAGACAAAAGGAATGGTACGCTTTGCTTAAACAATCTGAAGAGGGCGGGAATGGCAACAAGTGCGCCAGAAAGGAAGGGCTGAAATACTGACAGCTCTAAATTTCAGAATGAGTTCAAACTCTGGAATCTACCCTCTCCCTTTTCAATGCCAATGCCATGGTTCAACCCTTCGTTACTTCTCATCCAGTTATGACTCTCTTATCTATCCTGGCTTCAGCATCACCTCCTCCAACCATTATACAACTTACTGTGCTACAATGAAAGCCCTAGAACCAGAGAATGGTCATGCCACAGCTCTGCTAGAAAAAAATCCTCAATGAGATCAGAACTGTGCACCACATGAAGTTGCTGCTTGTGAAGCCAGCATCCCATATCAGTATGCCTGCTTGGAATCCTAACCACTCCATTTCTGATCCAACCTCCAGCTAACACATCTAGGAGGCAGCAGATGATGGTTCAAGCAGTAGGATCCCTGCTATCCATGTGGAAAACCAGCAGAGTCCTGACTTCAACTTGCCCCAAGCTTGCTGTTGAAGCCATTTGGGGGGACTGAACCAGTGAATGGGAATTCTCCATTCATTCTCTCTTTCCCCCACCCTTTGATTTTGAATGGAAAAAAAAAAGTCTTAAAAAAGGCTTTCACTACTACTAACTGTCCCATATATTCTTTATCCAATAGGATAATGGAATTTTAAACTATAATCATTTACCAAATTATAATGGAATTTTGCTCTTGCCAAGTGACTTGTGAAATATCAGTGGGGGGAGGGGGGGAGAAGACTAGATCTTTTTCCTGTTATAGTACAACTTTTATTAAAAATAACTTTTAATACATTCTATGATATAGTTTTGTAGGCATAGGGATTCATGCAGAGAAGGCATCTGATAAACTCCAATACCATTTCAACCTAAACTCATACGCGATAGGCATAGCAGGAACACTCTACAACACAACCAATGTATATACGAAAAACCCAACACCAGCATCGAAAATTGGAAGCTTTCCCACTAAGACATAGAACTAGACAAGGATGTCCACTATCTATCACTCCTAATCAACATAATACTAGAAGTCTTCCCTAGAGCTATTAGGCAAGAAAAAGAAACTAAAGGAATTCAAATTGGAAGAGAAGAAGTCAAGTCATTCCTCTTTGCAGATTATACGATTCTATACAGAGAACCAAGACTATTGGAACTTACAAGGTCGCAGGGGACAAAATCAATGATATACAGAAAATACTAGATGGCTGAGAAAAAACTTGTAAGAACTGTCCCTTATTAAAATATCAGAGAAGAACCTTAAACACCTTTGAATAAACCTAACCAAAGATGTGGGACACCTCTCTGAGGAAAACTATAAAACATTAAAGGAAGAAATAAATGAAGACTTTAAAAGATGAAGAAATTTACCATGTTCCTGGATCTGTACAATCAACATTAACATGTCCATATTACTGAAAATAATGTTTTTAATCACAAAAATGGTAATATTTTAGGGAAGTTCACTAAGTACTACATGTAAGACAGCTTAGGAGAAAATCTAGATATAAGGCAATATGTTCACTCTCCTTTCTCCTTGATGCAAAATTGTGATATTCAATTCTAATACTGTAGTTCCTGTACACAAAGATTACT